GATATGCTTCTTCTAAGTATGTTGTTATTAAATAAATCATTTTTAAAAATTAAAAAAAAAAACTTCTCTGAATAATTAGCTCTTTATAGACATAACTGCTTTTAGGCCCTTGCATGGTGTAAACTGGTTGAAACCTACAGTTTACTTAAGGTTTAGTCTTTCCCAAAATCCTAGTTTCACTTCTTAATCCTATAATCTTAACAGTCAGCCTCTCTCAAAACGAATCCCACAGCTAACATTTAATGAAAGCTAGATTGGGGGAGACGTGATTACTCGGCAAGTAAAGGCACTTGCGGCCGAGCCTGAAGAGCTGAGTTCGATCCCAGGGACTCCCAAGAGTTGTCCTCTCACCTTCACATCACGCTGTGGCATGTGCCCACATATATACACATATACATATGTACTAAAAATATAATTTCTTCTTAAAAACCTAGACTCAATTTACAAATAGCAAAATCAAAGCAGATCGGTACAAAGTAGTGCTGGCTCACCAGGCAACCACAATGAGGAAAACATAGCAATGACCTCATGGGCACGTATTAAGTTTTACTTGCAAAGTGTCAAACATCAACCAGCTCCTGGGATACAAGGACAAGTTCGGCAAGGCTTAGCGCAGCCGCAGTGGGACCAGAGAGAGGAGGCACAATCCGGGCACAGCCAAGTCTCCCGGAACAGTGGGTAGCAGATGCTTTCGAGAGCGTCACCGGTTGTCAGGCAACCGGCTCCCGACAGTCGCGGCGGCGGGCCGGCAGTTGCCTGGCGGTCCGCGGCGGGTAACCAGGGCACCGCCCCCAGCCTGGCAGCCCCGGCCCGGGTACGGAACCTGCACCCGCAACTCGGTCCCGCTCCCGCCCCGCGCCCGCGAGACCCCGTCGTCAAAGAACCCCGCTCCCAGCCCCGGGATTGGGTCACCGCCCGACCAGGGACTCGGACACCCCAAACCTCCACAGCGAAGCCCGGTGCCCCTCAACCCCGCTCCGTCCGACAGGCTCGAGACCCCCACCCGACAACCGCTGTGACCCGGGCACCGTCGCCTTCCGAGCCGCTGTGCAACCTGCGCCCGGCGCCGCGAATCCACCCCAAAGCCGTCTCACCACACTCGCCTCGGCCGCTTCCTGCCGCCCGCGAACTCTTACTCCAGAAAGGCGCTCGGCAGTCCGAAGTGTGGGTGACCGCCCGGGTCGGAAACTGTGTGACAGGCCGCCCGCCTGGGGCTCCGCCTCTCAGGCCTAGCGCTCCGCCCCCTTCCGCCAACAGCCAGGCCTGTAGCCCTGCCCCACGGGCGCTGCAGCCCGATGCCGCACGGCGAGAGCGCCCCCTGCAGTCCCGGAGGCCGCACGGCCCACCTGCCACCCGCACAGCTAGTGTGCCTAGGGGTTGGTGATGCCGGCCACCACTTACCAGGCTAAATCCATTCCAGCCCTTCCATGCACAGGCCGGTCTGGGGACCACTGTCAGAGCCTGGAAAGAGAAAAAGAGGAATGTGGCAGGGAGATGACGACTCTTGGCATTCCTCTTGACAACTCCCCGTCAACTGGTTATTCCGTGCACCTCAGACCTGAGTAGACCATTTGCTACTGCTAGAAAAAGAAAGCTATCTAGTTTCTCAGGAGAGTGGAACTAATAGTCCCTAACGTATGTCAACGGCCCTAATGTATCTTAATTCACATTGTAAGATTGAATTTTAATTTTGGTTATTTTGTCACAAGGTCTTATGTAATCCAGGCTGGCCTCCAACTTGTTATGTATCCAAGGCTAACCTTAAACTCCAAACTCGCCAGCACCTCTCATGTGCTGGAATTACAGGATGTGGAGCAATATCCTACATAGTTTGTTTAGTCCTTCTTTGTTTTGTTTAGGACTTTCTTCTTCTTTTCTTTTTTTTTTACTTTTTGAGACAAAAGCCCAGACTTGCCCAAATTCACTATGATTGGGAGGCTAGCCTTGCACTCACCTGCTTCCACTTCCCAAATGCTGGGATTACAGGCAAGTGTTACCACGCTAGGTTTGATAAGGTGGCTAAAGGCCAATATTCTCCAACTTCTAAAGTCAATGTCAAAAACCACAGGAGTGGTGGAGTGGATCATTCTGGGGGTTTGTTGTTGTTGTTTTCACTACTTGTGTGCCCAATGCCCACATTAGGAGCGGGGGTTACAAGTGCAAAGCTCTCTGTGAAAAACTCCCACCTGATCCAATACATTGTTAACAAAGCAATGTAATTTGTAGAAGGAGCTACAGAGCTGGAGTGGTCACTATCAAGAAAGAGTTGATGGCAGAGATCTCTGAGCTGTTCTTGGTTTGGGATTGTTTTTGTTTGTTTTGAGACAGGGTCTCACACTGTAGTCATGGCTGGCCTAGAACTCACTAAGTAGAACAGCCTAGCCACAAACTCCCAGAGATCCAACTGCACTGGCCTCTCTGGTGCTGAAATTAAAGACATGAGACACCTCTGCCGGCTTTTTAAGATTAGTATGATGCTGGGTGGGTATGGTGGCACCGGCCCTCAGGAGGCAGAGGCTGAAAGATCTCTGAGAGATCTACATAGTGAGTTCCAGGCAGGCGGGGACTAGTGAGACCCTGTCAAAAGAAAAAAAAAAAAAAATACTGAGGACACTAACTTTACAAAATGGACCTTGACACAGATGACAATGTATGAACTTCAGTGGGGGGGAGGGTAGAGGGGGTGCTAAAGAAAGGGGAAAGGGGTATAAAGTGATTTTCTATCTGAAATACACAAAAATTCAATAAAATTTAAAAATAATAAAGATTAATATGCGCTCTTAAGCAGAAATGTCACGTAAGTACATTTCAAGCAATGCAAATAACATTGTATTGCTAAGCCAAGGAAAAGGTATTTACACTGATAGAATGTAAAGCTAGGGGGTGTGTGCTAAAAAACATAACGGAGCTTGAGAAGTCTGCAGGAATTGTGTTATATGGAGCTATGATGCTTTTTTCTAAGAAAAAAAACCCCTTATTAGTGTTAAATAAAACAATGAACACAGACTTTGTGCACGCCTTTAATTTACAATCTAGTGAGGATTTGGGGATGGGAATGAGAAGGAAGAATACCTAAAACAAAAACACTAACGACTGAAATAATTTTCGCATTAACTGCTGAAAAAAAAACAGGTTGCTGAGATTAATTCTACACTGTGACAAAGGACGATCAAGCAGTGAAAACAAAACTTAAAAAAAAAAAACCTAAGAACCGAGAATTTTCATCATAGTTCTTAATATATAAACATTACCTTTACAAACACGTCAAAAAGTATAACCTTAGCAACCTATTAGTTTTGATTGCCTCCTCGGGATTTTAACGAAAACGCAAAAGAGAAAGGCCAATTACCAGCCCGTGAAGTTTTGCGCATGTGCGACAAATTAATGTTTAAATATTTTTAATACTTATTAAAAATACTTAAAATATTATCCTCCTCTCCAAAACAGAGTCCAGAGCTACTTACATCTTTTTCTAAAGACATCCTGACTTTTTAGTATTCCAAAGATTTTATTTCATTAAAAATACCGACACCCACACGAAAACAGACTTCAATCCCAGCTTGCCTCCACCCACAGCCAATATGGCGGCTAGCGCCTGCGCAATGCGAACAACGACGGCGGATTCCTTTCTGGCATGTCAGCAAGCCCTTCTTCCGGCGCGAAAGGCCGTACCATTCCCACATCGAAACTTTATGTTGGCCGCGGCTCGCACATACACTCCTCCAGGAGAGGACACTCTGGTTTCATCTACAGGGCTGTCTTTGGCTCCCTAGCTCTCCCAGCAGGTTCTTTCAATGTCGTCGCGTCCCCGACGCGCCCCTGCCCTCCGAATGGTCTGTACCAGCTTCACCTCCGGTCCTAAGTGTCATGGCTGCCTGGAGAGTCTAGTGGGAGTCTGCACCCACGGTGGGAAAGATCCAAAGCCCACACCCGGAGACCTAGCGAAGTAAAGTCGCGTCTTGACTGTGGGGGTGACAGCTTCTCCAGTTCCTCGGCGATGGCGGCGTCCGGGAGCGGTATGGCCCAGAAAACCTGGGAGCTGGCCAACAACATGCAGGAAGCGCAGAGTATTGATGAAATCTACAAATACGACAAAAAACAGCAGCAAGAAATCCTGGCGGCGAAACCCTGGACTAAGGAGTGAGGAGGTCCCTGGCAAGACGCCGGGGAGGGAAGGGATGGCGGGAGCATGAGACCCGAGAGGGTGGGCGTTGGCAGGGATGAAGATGGCTTCTCTGGGGAGGGGCAGGGATCGGACACTCTCTTTATCCTGTCTGCTGCCCTAACCCCTCCTCTGGGGCCTGTGATGCCCCGTACAGAAAGTTTCTTTAACCGACCTGCCTCCAGAGGGTGTAAAGGGTGTAAAGCGGTGGCCTGGGGGTCACTTTCTCAACATGATTACTTTCATCAATGCCACACACCCTGCAGCGAACCTGGTGTCCGCATGCACTTTCTGGCAGCCTTCGGCTGATCCCAAGCGGAGGAGTGCAGCCGTTTTCAGAAATCGAGTCGGCAAGCCAGCGGTCTCGACAACAGCCTTTCAGAGATTTTTAGCCTTTTTTTTTTTTAAATTGCCGGTAACTAAGAGACATGCCAAGGCGCTTCCCAGCCTCTTAAATATTACACCACCGATTCACATAAGCCAGAAACTATTAAAATAGAGCTTAAATCCCTTTGTCCTGCAGTAAAATTTATGTATCTCTGAGACTGATGACAAGTCAAAAATTATTTAGAGCAGATTTTGTTAGGGAGAGGCTTTAAATCATAAAAATCTAAATGTCTCGCAACTTTTTTAACTGTTGGTAATCTATTTTCACAGTACTCGTTGAGTATTAATATCGGCTGGACACTGGACTAAGGATTTTCATGTGCTGTAATTTTCCTTTTCTGCAAATACGGTCAGAAATTTGTGTCATAATCATACTGAAGTTGTGAACTCTTTGAGGAGCAACAGACCAGAAATCAAGTATCACAACTGTCATTTAATTTAATGACCTTAGGAAACTCTCTTCAATTATCTGTAAAATAAAATAAACCTGGCTATTGGTGATATCGTGGAAAATAGATGAGGTCATTTATAGAATACATCTGGATGAACGTGTAATAGGGCACAATAATGGTTGTCTTCTTTTCTTTTTCCTAGTAAAGGAAGGAGCTAAATTTTTTTAATTATTTATTTAATAACCACATACTTAGAAGAAGCATTTCATTACAACAGCTTTGACATATTCAATAACAATTTCCTGAGCTAAGATGCATCTCTTTCAAAATTGTAAATTTTTAGGTTTACAATTGAATTGTTACAGTTATACAATAG